CCTCTTCTTCCTCCTCCTCCTCCTCCTCCTCCTCCTCCTCCTCCTCCTCCTCCTCCTCCTCCATCATTCCACAAACCCTACTCCCTTCTAGCACTGATGATGTTACCTAGTTTGGTAATGAAACGTCTGCAAGGACAACCAAGGACAACCTTGCAGAAACGTCTGCAAGGACAACCAAGCTCAGAGAGCACCAAGGACTCCACAGTCCTCCTCTTCCACCTCCTCCTCCTCCTCTTCCTCCTCCTCCTCCTCCTCCCTGCAAATCCCCCTCCCTTCTAGCACTGATGATGTTACCTAGTTGGGTAATGAAACATCTGCAAGAAAACCACCCAGCTCAGGGAGCACCAAGGACCTCACAGTTCAACCCTGGCCTACAAGTATTCTCTTCTATTGACGAAGACTTAGTCTTCCTCACGGTGGTAATGAACTAGCCCAGGGGTAGGCAACCTTGGCTCTTTTATGACTTGTGGACTTCAACTCCCAGAATTCCTCAGCCAGCATGGCTCAGCTTGGAACCCTCTCCCTTTCCCCTCAGCGTGCCTGGCTCAGGAATTCTGGGAGTTGAAGTCCACGAGCCATAAAAGAGCCAAGGTTGCCTACCCCTGAATTAGCCAGACATTTAAAAAGCCACCACTAGGTGATCATGGATGGTGCTGACTTTCCATTTCATCCTGATATCTCTGTTTTTTTGTTGTTGTTGTTGTTTTTTAGCCTGCGAGTGTCACGTCCAAGCGTCTGCAAACGCCTTCTGCCACCCGGAGACCGGGCAGTGCCATTGTTTCCACGGAGTTTACGGCCGCCAGTGCGACAGATGTTTGCCCGGATACTGGGGGTTCCCAAGCTGCCAGCCCTGCCAGTGCAACGGTCACGCGGACGAGTGCGATCCCTACAGTGGCCAGTGCTTGCATTGTCGCGATCACACCTCAGGCCCCAATTGTGAGAGGTACGGGTTCTTTTGGGGTAGGAACTTGGGTTTTCAAAAGGGGCGCGCGTGCCAGTTTTAAGATCAGGGTTCTCCAACCTTGGCAACTTTTGAAGACTTGTGGACTTCATCAAAGGCCTGGAGACTAAAACATAACGAAGAACGGCTGCGGGATTTGGGTTTGGCCAGTCTAAAGAAAAGAAGGACTAGGGGGGACATGATAGCAGTATTCCAGTATTTGAGGGGCTGCCACAAAGAGGAGGGGGGTCAACTTATTCTCCAAAGCACCAGAAGGCAAGACAAGAAACAACGGGTGGAAACTAATCAAGGAGAGAAGCAACTTGGAATTAAGGAGAAAGTTCCTAACAGTGAGGATGATTAACCGGTGGAACGGCTTGCCTCCAGACGTTGTGGGTGCTCCATCACTGGAGGTTTTTAAGAAGAGACCAGACAGTCACTTGCCTGAGATGGTCTAGGTTCTCCTGCTTGAGCAGGGGGCTGGACTAGATGACCTCCAAGGTCCCTTCCAGCTCTATTCTGTTCTAATTCCCAGAATTCTTCTGGTAGCTTTTAGGAAGCGATTAAAAACAGAACTTTTTCACAAAGCATGCTTCGGGAAGAGGGACAGGCCCTCCTTTTATAGGGACTCAGTAACCACCCAGAGTTGTGAGATTACAGTGGGATAAAAATGGAATAAACAAATAAATGGAGGTGTTTTGTTTTTTTTAAAGGCCCAGTGAAAACAGCTGTAGGCTGTGTTTTTTATATTTGCGCTTAGAGAAAAACTCTTAAGTACTAAATAAGTACTATTTTCAGTACATCCGTGCTGTATTGTGTGCCTTGTGATAAGCCTCGTACTATAACATTTTAGATGCCTTGCTGGTTATTATGGAGATCCAGTCTTGGGATCAGGGGATCACTGCCGTCCTTGCCCGTGCCCAGATGGTCCGGAAAGTGGGCGCCAGTTTGCCAGTGGCTGTTATCAAGACCGGATTACGTTACAAGTGGTGTGCATTTGTGAGAGAGGATATAAAGGTAAGTGGGGTTGTGAAATAACTCTAACTCAGGGGTCCTCAACCGTGGCAACTTTAAGAATTGTGGACTTCAACTCCCAGACTTTTTTTTGCAGACTTAGCCTCATCAACCTTCAATCATATCTGGCCAATAAAGAATTCTATTCTATTCTATTCTATTCTATTCTATTCTATTCTATTCTATTCTATTCTATTCTATTCTATATCCTATTTTCTATTTTCTATTTTCTATTTTCTATTCTATTCTTTCTATTTTATTTTCTATTCTAGTCTGGTCTATTCCATTCCATTCTATTCCTATTTTCTATTTTCTATTATTTTCTATTTTCTATTTTCTATTCTATTCTATTCCATTCCATTCCATTCCATTCCATTTCTATTTTCTGTTCTGTTCTGTTCTGTTCTTTCTATTCTATTTTCTATTCTGTTCTATTTCTATTTTATTTTATTATTTTATTTTATTATATTTTCTATTCTATTCCATTCCATTCCATTCCCATTTTCTATTTTATTTTATTTTCTATTCTATTCTATTCTATTCTATTCTATTCTATTCTATTCTATTCTATTATGCCATTCCATTCCATTCCTATTTTATTTTATTTTGTTTTCTATTCTGTTCTGTTCTTTCGATTCTATTTTCTATTCTGTTCTATTTCTATTTTATTATTTTATTTTATTTTATTATATTTTCCATTCCATTCCATTCTATTCTATTCCATTCCACTCCATTCTATTCATATACAGTAACATTTATTAATTTTTTGTTCAGCTACATCTTAATGATCTATTCCATGTTAATAAGTATTCCAGTCCAGTGCCCTTATAAGAATGGTGAGGCTTTACAAAGAGTTAAAGATGGGGGTCCTGCTTCTTAACTCACATACGTTCATACTTTGGTTCGTGGCTGGATTTCAGCCAGTTTGGTCCATTGCTTAAGGCACCAAGCTATAAAACTGGAGACCGTGAGTTCTAGTCCTGTTTTAGCCAGGAAAGCTGGATGGGTGACTTTGGGCCGATCACCAGGAGACTGTGAGTTCTAGTCCCGCCTTAGCCATGAAAGCCAACTGGATGATCTCAGGCCAGTCTCTTCTTTCTCTCAGCCATCCCACCTCACAGGGCTGTTGTGGGGAAAATAGGAGGAGGAAGGTGTGTTGGCTATGTTTGTCACCTGGGGTTATTTGTAAAATTAACAAAGGCAGGATATAAATAAATAATAATTTGCTGATGGTTTTTTTTCTTTTTCTTTGATTGCTGGTTTGAACAGGAAGCCGATGCGATGAATGTGCCTCTGGCTTCTTTGGAAACCCCGAAGAGTTTCGTGGGACTTGCCAGCCCTGCCAGTGTAACAACAACATCGATTCCTCTGATCCAGAGGCCTGTGACAAGAGGACAGGCTTGTGCCTCAAGTGTTTGTTTCACACCCAGGGCCAACACTGCCAAGAGTGTAAACCTGGCTACTACGGATGGGCTCTTCAGCAGGATTGCAGAAGTAAGTGAACAAGGGACATCTGCCTTTGACTGTAGATGGATGGATGGATGGATGGATGGATGGATGGATGGATGGATGGATGATAGATAGATAGATAGATAGATAGATAGATAGATAGATAGATAGATAGATAGATAGGGATGGATGGATGGATGGATGGATGATAGATGATAGATAGATAGATAGATAGATAGATAGATAGATAGATAGATAGATAGATAGGGATGGATGGATAGATGATAGATAGATAGATAGATAGATAGATAGATAGATAGATAGATAGATAGATAGATAGA